ACTTTGCCAACTGTGAGAGCATGTTTAAGAATTCTGCCCCAAGAAAGAGTATCTGGGCGATAGGAATCTTTTCTCTGGTTGGTGCAGTGTTTGTTATCACTTGGCGAGTAATCTTTAAAGAAAAGAACGTGGTACAGTCTATCATGTTGCTCCACTTAGCAGTGTCCGATGGTTTGATGGGTATTTACCTGGTCTCTATTGGCACTAAAGATCTGATGTGGAGAGGAGAGTATTACTTGCATGACTTCCAGTGGAGGTCTGGTTTGTCTTGTCAAATAATTGGAGCGATCTCCCTCTTGTCAAGTGAGGTGTCGGTTATGATGATGACTCTGATATCTGCTGATCGGCTTAAAAATATTGTGTTTCCTTATCAGGGTGCTTCTCTGAAACCAAAGGCAACACATATCCTGTGCATCATCATATGGGCAATTGGCTTCCTTATGGCCTTTTTGCCTATGTTTGGTATTCAGTATTTTGAAGACCCTTTCAGGTACCATAGTTATTATGGTAGAAGTGTGGTATGTCTGCCCTTGCAGCTTACTCCTGATAAGCCGGCAGGTTGGGAGTATTCTGTCGCTATCTTTCTCGCTTTGAATTTTGCTTTTTTCTTGTTCATCATGGGTGCTTATCTCATGATACTAGTCAAGTCTTACTTATCTAGCCGGCGACTGGCCCGTCAGGGTACTGAAAGAGAGATCCAGGCCAGAAGAGCAAACTTAAGGAGAGAAACGGCTCTTGCAAGGCGGGTGTTTTTCATCATCCTGAGTGATTGTGTGTGCTGGATGCCGGTGATAGTGATTGGTATGAGGACCATCATCGAGAAGTCTTACAAAGCGCAAGGAGACCTCGCTGTCTGGATTGCTGTGTTTGCCCTTCCGATCAATTCGGCCTTGAATCCTATCCTGTACACCTTTTCAACAGAACAGGTAAGTAATGCGCTTTTAATCCATTATAAGTAATCAAGATAATAAATTAGATCCGTAAGTAGATTAATAATGGTTAGTTACAGGAAGGGTAATGGTTTTCAGCCGACTCGAAGCAGTGTATAATATTGCTCAAGGCTGCTCTCTTTACTTGCAATTGACATTGACAATGTTTTAAAAGCACTGCACAGCAGAAATTCGTTAGTTTCTATTTTTCATCGGAGCCCAGTTCAAGGAAGTGAGCGAAATCTCGATTGCTTTTGGCTATTGCGTATCCAGGTCAGAGGCATTCTAAAGAACAAAATGGAAAAAGTCTGGAACTACTTGAAGACCGTTTTCACCTGCTGTGGTCGTGATCAGGAAGGTGCGATGTAATTATCACATATTTGAAGAAGTAAAAATACAGCTAACAGCTCCTAATAAGAAATAAACCGAACAACAGTGTAAACTAACAGATTGCTGCAAATATAGTTATTGACTGATTCATTCAGTCACTCGTTCATAAATCAATTCACTCATACATGCATGGAGGCATTCATTCAATCATTTATTCACTCGTTCGCTCCTTCGTTCTTTTATTGGTCGCTTCATTTGTTGTACGAACTACTCGATCATGGACTTTTCTTCTTTTTGTTTCTTTAAAACGCCAAGGAGATGGGGAGCAACCGAACCAACAGGGAATAGAAGACAATGAACAACAAGGCGGCGAGGGAGGTAAATCCTAACACCTATTTCTGGAAACATGGTGAAAACTGTAAATGAGGGAAATAAAGGGCAATCTGTGACTAAAAACATTTTCTTATATCCTCTTCATTTTAAGGAGAAGGTGGGGGTGAACAAATGGAACTGGTACATGTTGGTGTGCATCATCCCTTACTAGGCGGGCTGCGTTTTCTAATCCAATGTTATTCTTGTCTGGAAGAAAAATACCGTGTTGAAGTGTTCATTGCTGATCTGTTTGTTTTTAATTGTATCCCTGGTGATTTTGTTGTGTGCTCTGTTACCGGAGGGATCTTTGACTGCTGACTTTCGTGCTCGCAAATAGAGTTTATTATTATCTTTACAATAAATCATCCAACCTTCTTTGTTCATCACGTTAATCTCAAATTATAGAACCCATTCCTTCTTTCGTTTGTTAGTACTTTCGTTCTCTATATTAACTGTATGTTTCCTGTTTGTTTTTTTCATAAACCTCTTTTCGTGTTTTTTTTTCTTTAAAAAGGCCAAGGAGAGGGAGAGCAAGTGAACCAGCACGGAATGGAAGACAATCAAGAACATGGCGGCGATGGAGGTAAAAACCTTTTAGGTGTCAGTTAACATATCATGAAAATTTCAACTGAGGGCACAGGGTTAGTCTGTGTAAATTTTTTATCTACTCCCCTTTTTGCAAGGAGAAATTGAGGGTGAAGAAATTGAACTGGCAAGTATTGGTGTGCATCATCCACAACAAGGTAAGGCTAGAGTTTCTAATTCAATGTAAAGTTTTCAATGCTATTCTGTTAGTTTATATTGTACCTCTGGTGATTTCGTAACGTGTCCTCTATAACTGAAGGAACTGTGACTTTAGGATATTTCTTTACACACATAAAGTTTACTATTATCATTTTAATTACCCAATCTTTCTTGTCCATTACGTTTTAATAGTTTGAAATTGTAAATCTCGTTCTGCGTTCGTTACAAAATTTCTTATTTGTTTCCTGACTCGTTCACAATTTTTTTCTTTGCTTTCTTTAAAAAGGCCAAGGAGATGGAGAACAATTAGACCAACAGGGCATGGAAGACATTGAACAACATGGCGGCTTGGGAGGTAAGACATTTTTTCTTTTTAAAGAACACAGTACGGACATCATGAAAACTGAGAATGACAACACAGTGGCAATCTCTGACTATATGTTTTATTTAATATTTTTTTCCAGGGGAAGTCGAGGGTGTAGTTATCGAAGTGGCAAATGTTGATGTGCGTCATTCACAACAGGGTAGGCTAAAGTTTCTCCTCTTATGTCATCTTTATATAAACAACAGTTCCGTACAGAAGTTTTCATTGCTGTTCTGTTAGTTTATATTGCTAAGACTCTACAATATGTTGTATTAATGGTAGTTTTTATTCTCATAGACACAAATCAATAAAGTTAATTTACATCATTACATTTATCCAACATTCATCGTTTATTACGTTAGTTCTAAATTCTACGAATCTCGTGTTCTAAGACAATTTTGTCAGGTTTAAAAGTTTTGAAAAATTTCTTTGTCTCCAGTCATTGTCATTATCTGAAATACAGAAAAAAAATAGTCTAACTTGATTCTGAAACAATCACCGATACTAAGATAATGGAAAATAAGGTACAATATTGTTTATTAGTCTAAAACACAAAAGAATGACAGTATTTACCTTTTTGCTTCAAGGAGGACTTGATGAAGCCGAAAGAATCGAACCGGCACCTATTGGGTATGCTGATCCAAATCAAGGTATCTTTTCTTACCTTCTTTAGCCTATCATTTCGATGAGAAAATTGGTCGCTATTCTTTGTTTGTTTGACAACTTATCCAGTGTTGCTGTATTAGAAATGGACGGACCTTCTAAGGACTGTCAAGCTCTCCTGTGTATCGATCAGTTAAGAATCTCATTACCTCCCTCACGCATTGCTAAGCTCTGAATGAAGTAGCTTTTAATTTCTCAGCTAGCTTTCTTACCACTAAAACTGGTGGTCAACTCAAAGAATATAAATTATCCTCAAAGAAGATTAAGAGATAAAATTCTTTAATGCAAATGAGCGAAATTTGGGTGCAATAAGTTGAGATTTTCCATAATAGGTTGCGGACAAAATGAACGGCAATAAGTATGAAAACATCTAGTTGAGTATAGACTCATGTATAGACTCTTAAGCAATTCTTTCAAGAAATTGTCAAGCAAAAGATGAAAATGACAAAACACTGAAGAAATCCCCAAGTTTGACATCCATCAATTATGTGTAATATTACAAGTGTTTGATACCTGGTGAATGCAATATCACGACCACGAAAGCAACGTATTTCGGGTTTTTTATCCGTTATAATTTTGCTTTGGGTTTGTTTCGCAAAAAGGGCAACGTTCTGGTGCGAATTTCGATGAGTCTTATCATTATTATATCCTCTTCGTTTCGCCGACATCTTGCAGAAAATTTTTTTTAAAATTTTTTTCGTTGGTATTTTTTATTCATTTTTCCTTTATTTGCTGTTTCATCAAATAAAACAAATTTTGCTTCGAATTTATTTGGAATACCTCTGTAAAACAAACAAACAAACAAAGCAAAACAAAAAGAAGCTAATTCCGTTTATTTCTCCAGCATTACCCTGCGGATTACCCCACATTTCTCTGTTTATTTGTGTCTTCTTCTTTTTTTTATTTAATTTTCAAGAGAATTACATTTAGAATGTCGTTAACCAGTGCCATCAAGTTAAGCAGTTGCCACAGTGCATTAAGTACCTCATCAAATATGTGATTTTATTTACTTTGTTCTTTTCATGTTAGGAAAACGGAACCAGAGTTTGAAAAAAGGAGACGATAAATTCAGGCATTCCACCGAAAAGAAGTAAGTGGTGAGCAGCGGGATATACACAAGTTCACATTCCTTGAGAGAGACATCCTGTTCGTATCACAAAGTTGACGGACGTTGTCACCGACAAACTAACCGCTGAATTATTTTAATTACAGGCTTATTTGCCCACTAGGAAGCTCCTTAACCTACTGGCTAAACGTTTGAAATAGTGACTGTCGCTAGCGGACTTATCTTACTGATTGAATGACTCACTAACTTTCCTACTCACTGATTAACCAGCCGACTGACAGACTGTTTGACTTACTTACCAAAATGACTGAGCAACTTTTCAACCGACCGACTGACTACTTGACTAACTGACTGAAAGAATGCTGGTCAATCACCAGAACAACTGATTGACTGTTTCACTGACTGGCTATGTGTGTGCCCAACTTAGCAGCCAACCGAAAGATTGATTGATAGTCTGTTTTACTGACTGATTGACTGACTGAGTAAATGACAGAACGGGGCTTTTTACACAAATGATTTTTTGCAAGATAATAGCGATTGAGTAATTCTTTTCTTTTTCCTTGTTTTTCTTTTTTTTGCTTTGTTTTCTTTTACAGACGAGGGAAAAAATCAAGATTTTCAACGCGTCGAAAGTCACCTTCGGATACCGAAGCTGTCCTTGAAGAACACACTTTTGAAGAGGACACAAAACTGTAAGCAGTTAAATTCGAGGAAATTATTACAAATTCTAAGCAATTTAACAAGAAGAAATGGCAATTAGAAATCCACAATCTCGTTTTTTTATTAAGCGTATAAGATGCTCGAGTTAGAAAAAAACTGTTTTGCTAATTTTGTGATCTCTGGCTGTCTTAAAAACATCCCCAACACGATTGGCTTAACGAAAGGATTTAATACCAAGAACTGTTATGGGAAGTAATTATGAAATAGAAGTTTCCGGAAATTTTTAGAATACCTGCTCACGGTGACTTGGATATATCAGGTTATGTGATTATGATGTAATTCTACCAGAATAGTAGTGTGGTAGGCTTGAGGAATGTTGTAGAATACGCTGAGGAATTCAGTAATCTAGGAGCAATTGTGCATTTCAAGCTATACCGTGAGATAGAGCTACTGTGATGCACTTCAAAGATGTGCATTTAAAGGGAATTGGGAAGAAACAGGGAGTTTGAATCGGCGGCGAAGAAGGTACAGTCTGTAGTGGTTTGTAGAAGATAATCACTGTATTGCCTAAAGGAGTCGATTCTTAGTAAACATACGTTTTCACACATTGTCTAACAACGTAGTTCGGTTTTAAGTAGTATAGTATTCTTTCTGTCTATAAGAATATACCGTGACAAGAGATTTAAAAGTGGTTTTCAAGAGTTTTGATTTAATTCTTGCTCATTTTTCCTGCTTGGTTATGTGCTTCATTATTAGAACAATACCAGGTTTTTCTTTATATTTTCTGCAGAGTTCAGAAAATGCATGCTTTCTGACTCATTGAATTATCTAACAAGTTGACCCTCATTAAAAACAAAAATAGTAATCTATGTGCTTATATGGGACATGAAAACTTTAAAAGGTGAAGTTTTAGCAAATTGATAAATTAGCATATCAAAGAAGGTGCAAGTTCTAGTAGCACTATTGAGTTCATAGAGGTTGATTTAAAAAATTATTTGTTAGTAATTACATAATGATACAAATGCTGTATTTAACTGGATTATTACTGTAATCGTTATGATAAAAATAAAAATAACGAGAGGGATCAAAAACAACTTGGCTATTTGAAGTTGTGTTTATTTTGTATACTTGGATATTTGCAACGACCAAATGGTCAGGCTCATCATATTCATAGAAATGTACGGAACATTATACATAAAATAAAAGAGAACAAATGAAATTGTTATTTTTTTTATAATCTTGCTTTTTCTCGGTCGAAGAGATACATTAAAAAGAAAGAAAAAATAGAACACAACAGGAATGATAAAAAATATTATTGTTTTTTTAGAGGGCACGGTAACGAATCTTGCAATCTGATTGGTTCTTTACCCGGTCAGTATTTTCCTATCTCTGCCCACGGGCCGCGGTAACGCTTTCGTGAGTCGCCGAGTACATCCCAACTTTCGTTGTCATTTTTCATAAATATACCTCGTTTTCCAGCTGGGCAGTATTTTTAAGCAAACACGTCGGTCACTACCTCAAGCCGATAAATAACTTATGAATCCTCCCTTTTCTCTCTATCAAATCACTTTAGTTGACAGAAAAATATTGGTTTCAGAATGAATTTGTATAAACAATAGTGTCATTACGTTGGTTGACAAGCGGCCTAAAAACCGTCTGCAATTAATTTTAATCGTTCACAAAAAGTACCCAGAAAGTTGAAAGGTGAGGTATTTGGTTACAGTTAAACTGAACGATGGAACTTTCATTCATTTAATATCTGAATTTTCTCGAGCAATTTGTTCATAGTAAAAAAAAAAGCGAGCGAAGTTTTAATTTAAGTTCTACAACAAATATACGCTCCTGGTGAGTCTTTCCAATTCCGTTCAATTTGGACATTTGTACCTTAAATTGCACGAACAGAAATTGAAGGAATTGAGAAAAGGCTGCATTAAATTCCCTTGTGTCTCGTTGGAGTGTGCCGTTCGAATTTAGTTTTTGTGAAGGAAAGATCAGAGTTAAACACGCCATTACAGCAAACAAACGAGCAAACTCTCACAACTTCAAAATAAAAAAATTGAATTTACTCACAATTACTTTCCTCGCCGTTTACTTAATGAACAGAGGTAAATCTTCATACATGAATGAATGGTCGATGAGAGTAAATAATACTTTCCGTTAGATCATTAACTGATTTTTAAGAAAACATTGTCGTGACAGTCCTTGCCAAACTAGTTCTGTTGGTTTTCAAATGTTCCTACGATTTTTTTTTCTTGCGCGCTCTCTAATTGACAGGTGTCAGATTGTGACTGATACTTGTAAAAATAATGTTTCAAAGTTTGTTTGGAAGCCTTTTAAATCACCTTTATTGTTACGGAAATGAAAATGTTTCGCTGAGGCATCTCTCTTAAATTTGCATCACCTCTATTTTAACTACCATTTACTCACTCAAAAATTGTTCAGTTTATGGAAGATCTTGCCGTATTTACGGCCATAAGTCATTCGGGTTCTTTCGGAAAGAATTTCGTCAAGTTTAAAAACAATAAATATGTTATTTACCGGCTAAGGGTCGGTCCGTATGGTGAAAAACTGTGACCTCGGTCTTGAAAATGCTGCCCTCGGCC